ACGTCATCATTTACCCAGAATGCTTTGCATGTAAATAAAATGGCCCCGTCCGTGTAATATATTTTTAAACTTTTAGTTTAAAAATTATAAAAACTAAAACAGCCTACAGTATTTTTACAGTCTTTATTTTACAGTTAAAATAAATGTTTATCAAATAAAGACTAATGTTACAACTAATCATGGATCCCTTTAAGACAGACATACGGAGCATTTCTAAGTCCCCCACCTCAGCGACAGGACAAAACAGTGATTTAAATCATTCAAAACAACCGTCAGAGAAAACACACCTTAAATGGTCGGTTGACGTAATAGTTGGTGGTGATGTACGAGTCTTGTCTGGTCACCCTGAGGCGCTCCAGAGGAGGAGGCTTCACGTAGATGATGAAGGCCTTCAGTTCGTGAGTCCTCACTGCCTGTACAGCCTAAAACATTGATACAAATCAAATCGTGCTGATTTGATTTTACACCAGAATTTTATTGATTTATTTATTGACTCCTAAAACTGAACTCACGTTTGGTTCGATGTCAACGACGCAGATCTTCCCTCTGTTCAGAACTTCCCTCACAGCCTCGATGCTGGTTCCATAAAGATTCCCTTTGTACTCGCCGTACTCCAGGAACCTGTTGGGACACGTGTTCTTGTCTTTTACCAAAACAGACGAGTACGAGCAGTCCTTTATCGAGGCTGATTTGTTTCAATTTCCCTAAAGACAGCTTTGAAAGAGAAAAACCAGCTGCTGCACCTGTTGTTGTAGACCATGTTGTCGAAGACCTCTCGACTGGTAAAGTAATATTCTCTGCCAAACTCCTCGTATCCTCGGGGAGCTCTTGTTGTGTCTTGTGTGAAAGAGAACAAATCTGTGTGACTTTTTTTCTTTTTAAGATGCTACTTTAGTCATATTATCACTTCAACTAAAACACATTAAACAGTCAAGGCCTTGTAATGAAATGATTGAGAATATGGAGAATGAGCTAGGGATGACTCTCAGCTACTACCACACCTAATTTTAGCTGAATATCAATCAAAAGGACTGAGTATTTGTGTTGACTAAGGTCAATTAACTGTGGCAGCCATTTTGAACTGGACTGGCTCTAGATGTTAATGAAATGTATTATATCTAATTATTATTTTTTATAATTTTCACTTAAATCTGTGCAGTGGTTAATATGAGATGTTTTTCTAATAGACAAACAGGGTTGGTGAAAAGCAAAGTTTCTAGCCAGTGGTGACCAAACTCTTATACGTGTGTCAAAATCATCTATTCTCCATTTAAACTTTCCACAACAATAGTACATAATTATGTTAGTAACAGGATAAAAATATACTAAACTTGGTGCAGATGATGTTTGAAAATTTAAGCCCAGTACATTTTAGTCTAAATGGCTCATGGTTCCAGTTTGGTAGAGTTTTTTTAAAAATCATGAACATAGAGGGACCATCCTAGAAAGCTGGTCAAATCACTGAAAAGGTCCAGCTGATCCGTAGAAGGTTTGAAGGGACACTAGTAAACCTGATTAAAATGTATGTAAATGACGTCCACTCCGTATTCCAGTATTAAAGTCCTAACTAATAGTGATTAAATCTACAATTATTTATTCTTAAACATGCTAATTATAGTCAGGAACATTACCCAAAAGTCTACTTTTTGTTAAAAAATTAGTAAAGGTGATTTCATTTTGATGATTAAATTAAAATTAAAATATTAAACATGTTTATTAAAGATTATAATCTTGCATTGTCCTTAATATTACACATTTTAATCAGATTTTTTTATAATCCTAAATATAAACTAGATACCGCATAGCGGTAACATAATGACCCCCGCACGCAGAAATGCACCAGAACTCAGAAGTCTTGATTCCTAATAAATGTCATGATACTAGATGCATCCCAAAATTGTAGTGATTTGGGTGGGGGTCTTTTTTATTTAATTATTTAATTATTTAATATATTTTTTTTGGGGGGGGGGGGGCATTGGTTGACCTGATGGGTGGCCCTTCATCAGAGATAAACAACAAAAAAATCTGAAGCTCCTATGTTTAATAGTCTTTGAGCTATAACCACTTTTGCATGTCCAGACACCCCCACTTTGAAAGGAGCCCCCTCCTCAAATATGGGGTGTATCGTAAAACTGTTGGCTGGCGCAGTGTAGGTCAGACTCATCTACATTCCTGCCAAATTGTTGATCGGTGCAGCCGTTTTTGTGCTACAGTTGACCAAAAATTACGGGAAAAAAAAGTATGAAAACATAATGACCTCCGCTTACGCTTCGCGTGCGGGGGACATAAATAAAGATTTCTCCCTTGAACCATGAAAAATATGTCCATCTGCATCTTGAGCCAAAATGATACCATCCCTAACCTGCAGTAAAGGGCCACACAAAGTCAGGTTGAGGGCTGCAAATGGCGCAGTGTTTTTGCTAGTAATGGGTTATGTTGGGAACCACTTTCAGCTCCTACCACCCCACATTTTAGCTCAGCGTTTGGAAAATTGTCTGAGTTAAAGCACTTTTTTGTGTTTGCTAAGTTTGGTGTAGCCTGGCCCTTGCCTTCCTACGTGGTTCCACTCAATTCTAGTTTCCCTTCACTGCTCCGTCTGGGACTTCTCCCATAGACAAGGATTTTGCTGGCAGAATTTTAGCCGAACCAATCAGATAACAGAACATTGATTTTCTGTGCAGTGTCTGCTTGTAGTTTATTTTACCTGGGCCAATCAACAAACAGAAGGCGGGGTTTTGAGTGACGTCAATTTTCTGTGCAGTGTCTGCTAGTTATTTTAGCATACTGCAGTAGAGGAAGTGAATAAAGCCAGTCTGTGTTGATAAGGCTTCAAATTAAATTAAATTTGTCTGACAAAGCAGCAGCTCTCATTTACAGTCGTCTCGTTCGGCTCGGTACTTTTCTCCTCTCTCAGTAGGGTTGTTTACAGCACACGCGATGTCCGGTTAGCTTCTTAGCTTAGCCTCCTTCACATACACACACACACTTCAACAGAGGCCACGCCTCCAGCAATAATCACTTCTCTATAGCAGCGAGTCCAGACCCTCTGTACGAAGCAAAGTGAAGGACATGGGTCTGGTTTTTACCAGGCCAAGTTTGGTGAGCTGTGAAGGCCATCTTTAATTAAGTTGACCCTCATTCAAACAGTTTCTAAAAGCCTCAAAACAAACAAACACACACACACACACACACACACACAAACTCACACTCACACACACACACACACACACAAACTCACACGTTTGTTCTTCTATCCTCATGGGGACTTTGCATTGGCTTCCATTCATTTACTGGTCATTTCTATAGCCTAGCCCTGACCCCTTTGCCCTAAACCTTACCACCCCAGTACATACCTGACCCTAAACTTAACCTAAACTCAATTCACACCATAGTCCTATATCAAACCCCTGAGCCATCAATAGTACTTTCCCCGAGTGAGGACCAGGCTTTTGTCCCCATTAGGAACAGTCCTCACCAGACTGTGTACGGGGTAAATTGTCAAAAATCATCCCCACCAAGTAGCAAAAACATGTACAAAAACATGGGCAAAAATATCACCTTAGCTGATAATCTGAAATGGGACAAAAACAGAGACCTTTCATTGTTTTTTTAACATAAATTTAAACAAAAAGTGACAACTGGTACGTACGAGGTACAGCTCCATGGAAAAGGTTTGGGTTCATCTCAATCAAACGCCTCCGGAGTTCATTCACACCCACACCTGGTGCACCTGAGGAAGAACATGTTTCATCATTTATGTTGTAAGTTTCCTTACAGACATACTTGTGAGTGGGGGTAAAACCATTGCTTGCAGGCAGCAGTAACCAAACCACCCAAATAGTTTTGGTACCTAAAAGGGCAATGAGGCGGTGCGCGTTCTCCGGGTGGCGCTGGTAACGGACCACCTCCTCGTAGGGCGTGTTGAGGGAGCTGTAGCAGCTGCTAGGACAGCGGGTGTGACAGGTGGGCTGGGCGGTGCCGTAAGAGAGACGCCGACACAGACGCATGCTGCGCCTGAAGCCCGCTGACGGAGAAATGAAACATGTCAGGGACCAAACATCTAGGAACGGCTGGTTCTGCTTTAGCGTTTAGATATTCACCTAAATATATGCCTTCTATGTTGCTGCTGAAGTCATCCTCTTCTGGGTAAACAAGCGGAGGAACAGAGAGAAATGCTGTATTCAGGAGCAAATTCATTAAATATACAATTGGTTTTCTTTGGAGTCAACATTTTGGCTTAAATCTTTGGAATCAACGTCATCTGTTAGCAAAATATATGATGGACCGTTGGACAGATTTGAATGAAACTCCCAGAACACAATCAGAGTTTTATTTTACATCTACAACTCTGTAAGCTTTGAAGTGAATCCCATTCCAGATGAACACAATTCAGTTCACAGATACTGAGCTAAAATTTGGTGTGTTAGTAACAGATAGTCATCCTCAGCTTACACGCCCGATTACACAAAATCTCTCATTTACAAATTTTGACTAAACTGGCAGTAACTCCACCAATTCTCATCATAAGATGAGCGTATTTGAATGCACATGTCAAATCTAAGTTCCGAGGGCCAAATGTCTCCTGTCATGGCATTTTCTGTGTAATGTCTTAAAGGGGCAATATCATGTAAAATTAACTTTTTTTGAGTTTTATATCATGTTATAATGTTATACTCTCATAAAAAACATGCCCAAAGCCTTGCTTTGACTCATTCATGTATGTTTGAGAAATCCAGCAGTGTTTTTAGGAAGTCATGCTGAGGAGCAAAACGACAGGTGGGGACCAGAAACGCCTTTTGGGACCAGAAACACCTCTGGGACGTGTCTTTAAGCCGAACTTCCTCATGGCAGAGCGCATCCCCCTCACTCCACACACCCCACCCATGACTCCTGCAGGCTCTCGGCAGTAACAGAGCAAAGTGAAAGTGAAACTTAAACTGTCTGCTCTGCTGCTCTTAACACTATTTCTCACTTAGTGAAGCTCTTTTCAGATTCAAAATACCTTTGAGGAAATTTACAGTATTTTCAGATGTCAAGTAAACTGCATCATAGCGCGCGCAACCACTCCCACCCCCCCGTACTGAAATGGGCGAGACAGATGTGAAAGGTGGCTCTTAAAGAGACAGAGGCCAATTTCAAGGTGTTTAGAAGAGGAAGTGATGAGAAGATAAGTTTATTTTCTATTTAAACATAAAAACAGCATTTTAATAACAGCTAAAGGTGACATAGATACTTTATTATGGTATACTATTTATATATATGCCTGAGAAACACAAAATATTGCCCCTTTAAAATAAGCGTATGCTGCTTTAAAGCCAACATTGACCATAAACTACATCTCCCATAGTGCATGTTGATAAACCACCACTAGGTGGAGATGCACAGGGTTTAAAAGGTAGCCAGAGGCTGTTAACAGTGAGACTTGCAGTGTAAAAATCTCCATTTCACTGCATCTTCACCAGCTACTTTTACTGCAGCCCAGTTGTAGTGGTCATACATTTCACTCTCCTGTCAGAAAGTGGGAGAGTTCAGAATTCAAGATGGCAGCTATTCACCATAACTCATCAGTGAGCAAAACTAGTAAAAAGTTCCTACTTTTACTTTAAATAGTATTTCTGTATTATTTCACAGTTAGTCAGTTTTACATGTAGTACTTTTCTGTGTTTACAAGAGGACATGTTTGAAAGCTGTTTTAATGCAGGAAACACCATGTAGAGCTCAGTTATTGTTTGATAGAGGTGCTCAGCTGTAGCAATGAGATGATCAAAGTTAAACACGAAACATCAAAGGTATTTACAACTGGCCCTTTGAGGGTAACCATGCTGCTCATGGGGCCCTTGGTGAAAATGAGTTTGACACCACTGGTCTAAGGCTACTGCCATTAAAATTCTAGCATTAAAGGTGGTGGGCTACATGCTTTCCTTCAAGGAATTCTAAGGATCCATGATTAGTTGTAACATTAGACTTTATTTGATAAACATACTGTATATTCTAACTGTAAAGTAAAGACTGTAAAAATACTGTAGTATGTTCAGTTTTTATAATTTTTAAACTAAAAGTAAAATATATATATTACAGGACGAGGCCATTTTATTTAAACACAAAGCATTCTGGGTAAATGATGACGTGGATAGGTCCTCAGTGTGAGCGAGCTACATCCACCCTGAAGGTTAATCTTGGACAATATCTGACGATTGACTCTTTTCAATGAAACCAGAGAGCGTTGACAGAGAGGAGAAGGTAGAAATGACTCAGCCTGCAACTGAAAATATGGATGGAGGACAACAGAGCTGCTTCATGGAAAAAGAACCTGGTAGCTTTAGCATTAGCCCTGATGCTATCACCATATATATGTATTCAGCGCTACACATTCTCCTCTCGTCACTGAGGTCCTCCATCCACATGACAGAGAGGGGAACACAAAAATGACTCAGTCTGCAACTGAAAATATGGATGGAGGACCTCAGTTTAGCTTGTTTGTCGCGCTAGCACTGAGCTAATACATATAAGGTAATATAGTGTCGACGCTAACACTAAAGCTAACAGGCTAAGCTGAGGTTCTTCTTCCATGAAGCAGCTCTGTTGTCCTCCATCCATATTTTCAGTTACAGGCTGAGTCATTTCTACCTTCTCCTCTCTGTCAACGCTCTCTGGTTTCATTTAAAAGAGTCGATCATCAGATATTGTCCAAGATTAACCTTCAGGGTGGATATAGCTCGCTCACACCGAGGACCTATCCACGTCATCATTTACCCAGAATGCTTTGCGTGTAAATAAAATGGCTCCGTCCGTGTTAAAATATACTTTTAAAAATTTACAAAACTAAACAGCCTACAGTATTTTTACAGTCTTTATTTTACAGTTAAAATAAATGTTTATCAAATAAAGTTTAATGTTACAACTGATCAGGGTTCCCTTAATTTAAATCCATCAACAAAGAGTGACAGCTGTTTTATTTGAGCTAATAAAACCACAATGCAGCACTAAAACAGGCAAACAAAAACAAGAAAATATATTTTTTGCAAACAAAATGAATATAAAACTTTTCATTCATCACATACAGACAAGTTTAATGTTTTCTCACCTTCTCTGAGCTCCTCTGAACAGAAATCAGGAAAGACACAAAAAAACAAAACAAAACAAATTTTCCTATGAAGGACAAGAGACAAAACCACGGGTCCATTTTAGGCACAAAAACATAAATTCAGAAAAGACTTACCTACCAGATTCAAACGCCTCCTCGTCTATACAAACGCACACACAAAGGAGACATTTAATATAGAGAAGCCAGCCAACGTATGAGCAGAAAGATTAACCAGAACAATATGTACCTGCTTCAACACATTTCTCATCTATGGCCATCAAGTCATCCTCTGTTGGATAAAAAAATACAGATTTAAACTCTTAAAGTTGACATAGCTTGTGAATGTTGTTCCTCCTTTACCTTCGTCCACAGGGCTCACTGCAGCAAGCGTGGAGCGAGACAGAGAACATTCATCAGGGAGGACGTTAAAGTGTGACGTCACAGTAAGAAATGTCAAACAAGGACTCACAGGTCTGGATGCAAGCATGAGGCTGGTATGGTTGGGACCACCAGAACTCCCTCTGTTTCCTGCAACCAAACAGAGGAGAAGAAGAAGGGGATTACAGAAGATTTAAATATGAGTGGCCTACGATTCATAAAGACAAAGAAAAAGGTCTGTTTTTGTTAAAACGGCATCAGAAGTCTGTAAAACCTGTAAACACTGTAAAGTAAAAAAAGAACAGTTTAGCGATAAAATATTAAAAGTTGTATGTTATTTTTTGAAGAATCGCCCACCTCCTAAAATGCCTAAGATTTAGATTAGATTAAAATGAGATCATTTTACAAACTGACTGAGTTGTGGCCATTTTGATAAAAATGATGGTGTGCTCTAATGGAGAAAAGGGTCTTAATCTCTGTTGTTCTGGGGATGATGGAATTTATAAAGAACAACTTGCATCAATGTAAAGATGCCAGTACATTGCTGTGTACCTGCCATAGTAGGATGGATACAAGCATAGCCTTGATCCAGGAACTTGGATAGTTAAGTCTATGGTACGAGGCCTGGGATTCCCTGGGGGCACACTTCTATATGATGTGAGCAGCCGCAGACCCAGAGCAGCAGTAGTCCTGACAAGAGGTGTAAGATACACTGCACTGCCCCACCTAACAGGTGACGCTGTAGCAGTGCAGTTGGACATTCAGGCAAATGGCGAATCCAGACCGATCATTGCAGCCTCTGTTCATCTGTCGTTTGATTCACAGTAGCCACCTCCATCACTGGAATTTATAGCAATAGTTGAATATGCTAAAGAAAAGGGCCTCCCTGTACTCATTGGTTGTGATGGCAGTTCCCATCATGTGTGCTGGGGGAGCTCTGCTATTAACCCTGGAGGCAGATCTCTGTTAGAGTACTTGCTGACAGAAGACCTGCTAGTCTTTAGTCAGGGCAATGTGCCTACCTTCCAAACTGTTAATAGGGAGGAGGTCATTGATATAACAGTCATGTCTATGGACCCAATTGTCAACAAAACGTGGCTGGGAGGTGTCCCCAGAGGAAACTTTATCAGACCATCAACAAATTCAGTTTTAGCTGACTGGAATATGTTTATCAGAAGTTTATCCCAGTTGATGGTTGGTAAAGTTGCCAGGATCAAAACTGTGCAAGACTTTGCAAAAGCTGGCAGTCAGGACCACAGCCTGTTGTAGGTACAGTATCTCAACAACAGTCTGTAGGACTACCCTACAGGCCTGGATTAGACGCCAACACTCAATCTGCTGGAGGGAGCTGTAGACAGGCACGGGAACTGATAAATGGACCAAATCATAGGTTTGAGAAAGCTCTCATCGTACTAAGGAAAACTCAATGTACACTGGTTAGAGTCCTAACTGGGTACAATCTGCTCAACCGCCACAAAATGGTGATGGGACTCTATGAGCAGTAAAAGAAAAATCTTGGGGACCTCTTTATGGATTCTGAGAAGCTCAGAACACTGAGTGTTTCTAACCTCAAGTCCATCATCCAAGGGACATGAAGGTTTAATTAAAGCTCAGTGCCACTTACGAGGCCCCTGCTCATATGGGTTCTTTATCCATCCCCATTCACCAAACCAAACCAAATCAAAGCCTACCCTCCCCCCCAATAAATAAATAAATAAATAAATAAATAAATAAATAAATAAATAAATAAATAAAAGATCTACTTCTTTAAAGTAAAACTTTCTGGCTTCTGTTCGGCTGCAGTAATAAAGCCACAACCCAAATGTGTGAGTTACCGTCGGAGCAGGTTGGTGGACGGGATGAGGCCGGCGCAGGCTGAGCTGCTGGGCAGTTTCTTGGCCTGCCACCAGAGAGCATCCGTCTGGTCCACGATCTCCAGGACATCACCTCTCCTGAAGCTCATCCCGGCATCGGCACAGGGGATGGTGGGGTCCTGCTGGGGGCTGTAGTCAGTCATGGCTCGGACGTACAGCTGTGAAATGAAAGGTTTGTTTGGAAAAAGGTTGTAAAAACTAAATGAAAAAAATATATAAAGCATTGGCCTTACCATCGTCTGGTTATGGACTGGTCTCTCTGTGATGGGAATAACCTTAAACATGATGGTACCGTGTGACCGAGCTTGCTGATAGGACACAAAAAATGTACAAACAGAAACTTTAAAGACATATTTACTTTACTTACAGATAAGAAACTACGGAACACCGAACCATAAAAATGAAAAACATAAATCCATTTATAAAATTAATTTGGTCTCTTTTTATAGGTAATATCCTGATTTAAACAACAGATTGAAGCTCCGTCCTGTAATTATCAAAAGATAACCTACCACTACTTGGATGACCTGCTCTGGCTCCATCCCATCCACAGGAAACCCATTCACCTCTATGATCCGGTCCCCTGCATGAAGCAGACCTTCACACACAGATTAAAAAAGTCAAACTGGGCATAATTTAATCTACTGGAGTACACGTTTGAAATGAAGATGAACAGATTTGGACCAGTTTTATTCATTATTTTTTTGTCATCAGTGTGGTTTGAAAACCTGAATATTTGGGGCTGTGCAGATGTCAAAATAAAGCCTTAGTACTCTCAAAAATACAACCCCTTCATTGAGAAGGGTTTGTAACACCTGCAACTTTGAAATTGAGTCTCTCGACTAAATTAGTCTGGACTTTGTGTTCAATGTACATAAAAAGAGAACTCAATTACTTAAAAATCTCATGAACTCACATTTTATTCACAATGGAACATAGTAGACATATGAAAAGGTTAAAACTACAAAATTGTACTATTGTACTTTTTGGCAGCAATACGTCTCAAAAAAAGTTGGTTGAACAGTTGTTGAGATAATTGCATGTGCTGTAACAGGAAGTGATGTCAAAAAGGAATGGCAGCATACAAACAGAGCATTGCTACAGTGGCTAACAATGCAGAATATAGAGAAGAATCTGATGTTTCTTTAGATTATTTTGAGTCACTATCAGAGAGATGCTGTGTGAAGAGTGAGAGGTCAAACAATATTTTTTCAACAAACTAAGACCAGAGAGTTCAATTCTTCTTTGATGTCACTTCCTGAGTCAAGTTAAAAAGAAAATATACCAGTTATCTGACAAAATGTGTAAAATCATGACTATTTTGTCGAGTTTCTTAAATATAAAGATGCTTTCTTTGACTTTTTTGTATTTTAAGGACATACATGTAACAGGCAATTTAGGATGGTTTATAATTGAGAGGTCTGGACTGCAAGCAGCCAGTTTAGCATGAGGTATAATCTTCTGTAAGCTTTGCCATTGTAATGGATACTGTATGCATTTTGGCATTGCATTGCTAAAATTTGCAAGAACTTACCAGAAAAAGGTGTCAACTGGATGGAAACAATTATTGTTCTGTAACTTGTAAATACTTTTCTGCATTGATGGTGCTCATGCCAGAGGCACCAATGCACCCCCATACCACTAGAAAGGTATGGGCTTTTGAACTGCACACTAACTGATTGGATGGTCTCTTGTCTTTAGAAGGAGGGTAGCAATGGTTTCCAAAAATAGTAAATCTACTTTGCCCCAGTCCATTTATTTAAAACGTGTGTTCGTCCAGAGAAGATGGCAGGATGGTGTTCCCGTATGGCTTCTTCTTTGCACGTTAGAGCTTTAATCAGCATTTGTTGATGGTATAGTGGACTGTGTTTACGGACAGTGATCTGCTCATGCAGTGAAGTCCCAGACAAAATCAGATCTCTTTTTAATCCAGTGGCCTCTGAGGGCCCAAAGATCACAGGCATCTAATGATTGACTTTCAGCCTTCTCCTTGAAATCTTTGACGTTTTCTCTGTTTACATTGTGATAAGAACTTTTTTCCTGAAATGTTCACACTAATTTTAGACAATTTTTCACAGGCTGGCAAACCTCTCCCCATCTTTACTTCTTAAAGATTCAGTTTCAGATTCAGGTTTGTCCATTTTTTAAACCTTAATGTAAACATGTAAAATCTAAATAAAAATTCGCAGTGTTTGGTTTTTGTTTCAGCTATCTAAATCCAAAATAAAATAGACAGTTGTTGTTTTAATATGTAGTGGTAATGGAAATGATGGAAGTGGCTGAAAGACTGCTTAAAAACAGAAACCATTCCTAAAGATATTGTCAATGGCTGCACATGAACCCTATTCTGCATAACTTGAATATTAAAGCGATTTTATTCACAGTAAGATGCGTCAACTCCCTCTAAATAAGACAAACATATTCAGAAGTGAAAAAGTAACAAAAAAAAGGAAAACCAAAATAAGTCTCAATGTTGATCCAAAGTACGAATTATACGTTGATTAACCACAAAGTCCTGAATGGTTCCATTAACAAGTAGGCCTACTGTATATGGGAGAGAAAATAAAAGCCTCACCGCTTCGATCAGCCAGTCCTCCATGAATCACACGAGCCACAAAAATTTCCCCTGTGATCTCGTTCCTCTTTATGGTCGCTCCCTAAAACCGAAAAGAAGACAACGTGTCTTTTATTAGGGAACACAAACGAATCGGGTGAATCGAACCACATAAATGGTAAGAATTAAAAACGTGTGAACTCTGCCAGAGGTTGTGAAATAAAAGTAGACTCTGGAATGAAATGGGAGATTTCATTTCCAAAACGATGACAAAATGAGAGGATGATGGTGAAAAGGAGGTGCTGGACGATGGATGGAGCAAAAAAAAAAAAGGTTAATTTGCGTGACTCAACAAAGCTCACTGGTTCTCATTTTGGTTTCTTCCTCCTCTTCTTCTTCTTCAGCTGGTTTGACCCCTTCCCAGAATTCAGCTCATCCAGGACGCCGTTTGTGAGCGGACATTTGGACACATCCAGATCAGTGTGCTTGTGTTTTTTCTGCTGCAGAGGAGACGTTTTGCCTTTCATGGACTCATGGGGGGACACAGAAAGATGGTGGATGATCTGAGAGGTGGTGTCCAGGGAGCTGTTGCTGCTACAGGAGGATGAACATCTGGACTGCTGTGTCGCTGACTGCTCTGAAGGCTTTGAGGTGTTGAGCTCAGCCTTGGAGGCGGTCAAGAGCGTCTGCAGCCGATCCACACCCTGAGTGAGAAGGACCAGAGACTGCACTGTCTCCGTCATGAGCTCGGTGGCGGCTGCCATCTTCGTGCCGAGGACCTTGATGTCCTTGGTGCTGCTGTCCATGGAGCTAGCAGCCAGCCGGACGGTCATCCTCAGCTCGTCCAGACTCTCCTGCTTGGCGAGCTCCACGGGGTTCTCGTCCAGCCGCCGGCGAGGGCACATCGGGCTGGGCGGAGCTGTGTGGACACGAGGACTTTGAAGATTTCGAGGCAGGCCTGGTTGGAGGTAGCCACAAACGTTGGGGTAGAAGGGGTGTGAGAGAGAACTGGTGGAAGGTACTGCTTCATCGTCACTGTCCCCCTCATCTTCAGTGTTTTCTCCAACTATAAAAGGAAATTGTTAATCTAAGACTGGATGGAGGGACGATGGATGGAAATTCAAAGGATTGTTTCTCTTCTGCAAACGAGGCTGACGTGTTATCTTACCGATCTGAACAGAGTCGTAGATCAAAGGTGCGTAGTGGTTCAACCTTTCGTCCAGGAGCAGATCAGAGTAACAAACCCCACAGCGGCTAATCGGGTGTTGACATCCCACTTCGTATCGAGGCGGTGGGTATGATCCAACTTCTGCCGGACTATTCTGCAGCTCAGTCGGCTGGAAGCTGTTGTTCCGGACGCCATAACATGAGAAACAGCGACCGCTCTCTACACATGGACTTGGCAGGGCGAACGGGTTGTCTACTTGAATTTTCTGGACAGAACCGATCCCCGACCAGAGGCTTTTCGTACGGGGTGTCCCAAAAAACTGTGAGACAACAGAATCACTCAAAGGAAAAAGTTCAGCAGATTAAAACAATACAGGAGGTAACGAGAAGCAAAAATGGACAGTTTACAGCCTGACTGGCTTGATATCCACAGGTTTCTGTAAAAGCATATGTGGGCAGCCATGATAGACCGCTAGTTCCATCCCCTGTTTCATATTTTCAGTATGCAGGGTGAGAACCAGAGATTCATCCATTGCTTATGATAACAACAAAACCTGTTTGTTTTTGCTTTAACTGGCGGCTTGAGCAGTTTGATTACAAGTTTGGGTTCAGCTTGTGTTTTTGTCGGCTGCCACAACAGCTCAACAAACTGAGAAACACTCAAAATCATTTTGCCTGGAACAATAAGTAGTAAAGGCATGTCCACGCTCAGTGCCTTACAAACTGCACTTTATGCCGACAAAGGAGGATCATTAACTAATACTGCTTGAAGCTGTAAAACTCAAAACACACAGAAGAGAGCTTTTTAACTGTTTTCATTTTATCAACAAAAAGCCCACGGATATACACCCCAATTCAAGAATATTAACCCCAGGGGCTATAAAAGTCTCTGGTTTGTTTTAATAAAAAATATGTTAACAGAGTTGTTAGAGACAGTTTATTTATGTTTATCATTTATTTAAAATGACTGCAGCTGCATGAAACCCTTTAGTTCTGCTTTCAAGGTTACAAGCAAACTAGCACCAGGTGAATTTTATGTTTAGAATGATAATAATTTTACTTTTATAAAATGATTACAATTCTGAGGGGCTTAGGAACATTTTACTTCCAGAACTATTGACATTCATGATTTAGCATATGTGTGTCTTTGGAAAAGACGAGGAAGTTGCAAATATCAATTTAACTGACATCGGGCCATAGCTTCATGTCATCGTGAGGTGACACGGTGAGCCACTATTAAAGAGTTGCTTTTTAAAACATCCTTACAGTTTATAAACTTCAGAAGTGTTGCCATTTACACAAAACGTCAGTGAAAAATACTTTGATAAACAGTGATGTGTATGCCCATAATTGTAATAGCGCAAACAGAAGAAGAAGAATTATGGGTAGGGGCGCAAATTTAGGAATACTGTGGCTATGACTGCTTGATTAAACCATCACTGAATGCACCATGGACACAAACAATACTAGTCGAGAAAGTACAACAGTCAGTATATCAAGTTCAACTCACCAGGGGCTGTTTATTTTTGACCAGGCAAACAGTTCGAGTTGCCTCCTCATCGCCCGGAAGCCCATCTGGTATTGGTGGCAAAACGGGCTCATAGTCCTTCTGGGCCACTGTATCGTGAGCTGAGAGCAGAGCCTGGAAAGCATAAGTTTTGTAAACACAGTCTAAAAAATGTAAAATATAAATGATACAGACACTGAATGTGGTGGTGCCGTCATTTTATTTCGTCACACAGTATATGAGCATATTTATTTTTGTTGCAATAATTCTCTTGAAACTTTTTGGCAAATTGTTAGGCTTTAAATTTTCACAATACAGGATAATTTATTTTTAGATTTCCAGACACATGAAGAAAAGATAAGTGACATTTAGACATATGCCAAATTATATGCAGAAAAAGAGTAATTAAAGGTTCCCTTTCACTCAGTACAACACATGAAGTATGGGACATGCCCTGCATGTCCTGGCTGAAGACACCTCTAATCACGCCTTTAGGCAGATGACATGATGACGACAGGTGACAGGCCCCGCCTGCACTATATACTGTCCGTCATTACAGTCATTCCTCAGTTCTTACGCTCTTCACCTCGCTAAGAACACCTCCTTGAATCAAGCTAATTAGCTGCTAATGGTTAGCTCTGCGTGTCGCGAAGGTAACTTAAAATTAGCTTAATTGCTTTTGCTGGTGTCAGTCACTGTTGCCTGCTGGTAAGCGTGTCTGCCCGTGAAGTGCTGGTTTTAAGTTTTTCCTTCTTTTAAAGTTTTGTGGTTTGGGATGATGAGCACAAAACTAGCTCGAAAAACTAAAAGTCTGAAGTCTTCTGTTCGCCCCTGTCCTCAGGGGTGTGGCTTCTCGCTTCATGAAAAGGACCAGCACAAGGCTTACAAGGCCTGTTTGGGGATCGTTCACACACGGAGAGCATTGGCGGAGCCTGAAGCATGTGCATTTTGCTGCCAGGTTTGTTGCTCAACCCTGGAGAGACAGGTTAAGTTTCAAGAAAAAGTGCTGGGTGAAACTGCAGTCTCATGGCAGGACCCACTCCTCTCCGAGTCCAGTAACCCGGTTTCATCCGGGTCTGACAAGGAGGATTTACCGGTCAAAGTCCCCACTTCCAGCTGGGTGGACAACATGGATTACATGGATGGGTTAGCCAAAAAGGGAGAGGATGGGGCCCATTTTCAGCTGGGCCTCCACCAGGGAGATGAGGACATATTTGATATTGGCCTCGATGTTCACGGTCTGTCAGAGGATGACGAGGAACTCTGTTTGGGTCAAGGTGCTACCGCTGCTACAGAGGTGGACCAGGACGACACGTCTTTCCTCTCTCTCAGCATGCAGCTCAAAAACTAAATGTAGAGTGGCCCTCTCCACCACCTGCGCAAAAAAAAATAGTCGCGGTTCGCCCAGGTTCTTTCTTCCCACTAAGCCGACTGCGGTGAAGAACCTTCTCCCCAAGTTCCCGGACTTTGTCTCGGAACTGACGTCCTCCTGGAACAAACCTCTGTCCACCCGCGTCACAGTGCCCGGCTATGGACCGTATTTAGACTTGGAAGGAGCTGTACAAGCCGGGCTGGTGAATATCCCTCCGATGGAGCCATCCCTGGCAGCGTATTTGGCCTCGTCTCACAAGCATGGAGTGAGCGGGCCCACAACGCTTCCTTCCAAACCCTGTAGATTTTCTGCTGCACAGTTAGAAAAAAACCTACAGACCTCAAGCCACCACTGCTTGTGTCTGAGCTCCATTAGCATGCTCCACACATACCAGGAGATGTCTCTGGTGGAGCTCGGAGCTCAGGTGCCACCCGGGAGTCCTCTGTTACCTCTCTTAAAAGAGGTCAGAATCACAGCAGATTACATCCTCCATGCATCCCGCTGTGCAGCACTCTCCCTGGGCAGAGGGATGGCTTCAACCGTGGTGGCGCAGAGGCTACTGTGGTTGACGCTCTCTGATGTCCCCCACAGAGACCGAGCTGTATACTTGGATGAACCAGTGATGGCTGCTGGTCTTTTCAGGCAGTCTCTCAATGTCATTCAAGTTAAGTTCGAACTGAGGAAGAAGCAGACTGAAGATCTGCGCTGCATAATCCCCAGACGTGAAGCGAAACCAAAGACCAACACGAGCACACAAAAGCGGGCTGTTCAACCACCTCCACAAGCTCTGGCAACTTCCTGTTTGCCCAGATCTCCCCACTCAGGTGTGTGTGTGTGTGTGTGTGTGGGGCACCCAGAACTGTGGAGGCTGCATGGCTACCTGCTGAAAGGTTTGTTAGCTAATGCCTTCCTCCAGCTGTGGTGCCAACTATCCAGAGTGCAAGAGCATCTTCCACTAGAGGTTTATATACCTACAAGTGGCACGCTTTCGAGCAGTGGTGTGAGGTTAGGCACATTGTCCCGTTTCAGTGCTCATTGGTGGATGTTTTAACATTCCTGCAGGAGCTGCTGGATAAAGGTCTATCTTTTTCCATGAGGAAAGTATACCTGGCAGCTATTTCTGCCTGCCATGTGGGTTTTGATGGAGTCAAGCCAGGTGCTCATCCTCTAGCAGTGCGT